CCCCCCCCAAAAAAAAAAAAAGAGAAACAATCAATATCAGTCAATCAACTACACCTCAATCCCAAACTAGTTGGGATCAGATATGTGAATTCTCTGTGCCCATCCTGCTTTATTTGAACCTATTTCATTTCAATACTAGTAAATAGTTTGTTCTATGGCCGAAAAAAATATTTTAAAAAAAAAGGAGAAGGAACCTTTTCAAGCTGTTTCATAAGGGACACAAGGAGGGCACCAGTGGTCTTAGTACGATCACTTTGAGGAATCTTCAATCCTCGTTCCATCGCGTACAATCGACCTGCATAATATTTGCATAGATAGTCCTTAGCATATGACTTTGAACCAACAAACACACTTATATATTCAATCAATCAACTACGTTTCGGTCACAAACTAGTAGGCTCAACTATATAAATTCTCTGTAATCATTTTCACATAACCATGTTATCTAGTCAGTTTGCGCACCTCAATTATTTCAACTAATACTTGCTATAATTTTCTTCTTATAAACATTACCTGCTATTTGAAAAAACTTTGCATTGATAGTTCTTAACATACAATTTAGAACCAATCAATCTATCACAAACTAGTTGGCTCAATTATATAAATTCTCTATATGATCATTCTTTTTACAAGTTGTCTCTGCCCAGTTTGCCCGCCCCTCAACTATTACACCTATTACCTGCTTTAAATTCTCTATAATCATTCTACTCGATTTGGGCAATTTGAACCAATCAGTCAATCACATTGGGTCAACTATATAAAATTCTCTCAACACAGTTTGTCCATACCTCAACTATTCCAATGAGTACCTTCTTTAAATTCTCTATAATCATTCTGCCTCGATCATGGGTAGTTTGAACCAATCAATCAATCACAAACTAGTTGGCTCAACTATACAAATTTTCTATAATCATTCTTTTGTATAACGAGTGCTACATGGGCCAGTTTGCTCGCACCTCAATAATTCCATGTAGTACATGCTATAAATTCTCTATAATCATTCTGCTTGATGATGGGCAATTTGAACCAATCAATCAACCACAAACTAGTTGGCTCAACTATATAAATTCTTTTGTATAACGAGTATTATCTGGGCCAGTCTGCTCGCACCATAATTATTCCACATCGTACATGCTATAAATTCTCTATAATCATTCTACATTATGATGGGCAATTTGAATCTATCAATCAATCATAAACTAGTTGGATCGACTATATAAATTCTCTATATTCATTCTTTTGTATAACGAGTACTATCTGGGCCAGATTGCTCGCACCTCAATATTATTCCACATAGTACATGCTATAAATTCGCTATAATCAGTTTGTTCTATAAACCAATCAATCAATCATAAACTAGTTGGATCAACTATATAAATACTCTTTATAATAATTTTTTTAATAATCGTACTGTCTAGGCCAGTTTGCTCGCACTTCAACAATTTCACCTCATACCTGTTAAAAATTAGCTATAATCATTCTGCTCAACTCTAGGCGAACACACTCAGATAACATACATATTACATAAGAGAGAACACATAAAATTCCAAATTTGATCCGATTTAACGAAATTAGGGTTTAAAAATGCCAAAAAAGACGTACAGTAATAGGCAACAAGGGGTTCGTGCTTCTGCAACTCATCAGCACGTTGAAGGTAAGGCAATAAGAGCTTTGCTGGTTCGTTATCCTTAGACATCGTCACAAATTCAATTCCAACACCAGAGAATTATATTTGGTGAAGATCGGAGTTTTGCTGAAAAAAAGAACCCAATTTGACTTCTCCGTCAAGTTGACGATGCTCTCTCATTAAAACGACGCCGGTTTGTGTTTTTGTTCTTTTTTATACCGGTCGTAGAATTTTCTGAAATCAATTTTTAATTATCATGAAAGTATTCCCTTAGTCCCAAATCCCAATTTACATTTCTGTTTTTTGAGAATTAATTTGACTAATTTTAAAGCTAAATTAAATTAGATAAACTTAATATTTTAACTTAAAATTCAAAGATTTAAAAACTATACTGATTATTAAGTTGTAAATCTTTTTTATGTCAAGACGATGACAAATTATATTTTAAAATGTTGATTGAAGTTCACATAGTTTGAATCTTGAGAACCAAAAAATATCATATAAATTGGGACGAATGAGTTGTAACCTTTTGCTATAACGGGACCGGATCCAATAGTTCAACTATGGGTTCAATTATAAAATTAACTAAAATTGAGCTATGAAACCACAACTCAAATAAGGTGATGGGTTTCAATGCTTGAAACCGAAATCTTGAAGTAATATATTAAAATTCTAGATCCGCCTCTGAATATAATTGTAATATTTTAGCTAACTTACATGCAACTCACTTATTTTCCTGATATTTGCTATTTTCCACCTGTACAATCTACTACAAATGATTATTCTTACAAATGATTCCAAAATAAAAAGGAGCATTAAACTAATTAAGGAGTAAAGTTACTTTCCTCCATAATTTTTTTTTTGGTTTTCCATCCGGTGTTTAGTGTCCAGTATCCGCATTAAGATCCGATTAAATCTAACTTCGCGCTAGGAAGTCAAATATTGGGGGTAAAGCTCTCCCTAACAAAGGTCAGATTCGCGTGGAGAAGTCCTACATTGGGAGGTAAAGCGCTCCCTAACAAAGGCGGCTCTGTACCCAAGGCTCGAACACAAGACCTCTGATTAAGGATGAAGGAGTATTTACCACTACACTATAATCCTTATGGTACTCTCCTCTGTAAATTATGCAAGAGCTTGTAGTAGAGTCAAAATATACGAATAATCGATATAGTTTTGGATGTGATATATCAATCTTTTTAAAATATAACTTTACATACTTACAAACTTATACATAAGAAATGTTTATATTATTCATAAAGTTTTATAATTCAAATTATTCAACAAGTATTTAAAAGTAGCTGGCAAAGAAAAAACTTTTTAATTTCTCAAATAGAATTGCATGTGCTAGTGTTTCCTTATTTAATATAATTGAATTTGCGTGCATAAAAAAAACTTTGAAGATTTGAATTTCCAATCGTTAGTCACTCTTTAAGTACCTTCTGTTTCATTCCGGTCAAATATTTTTTTTAGCAATTCATGTATCACTTGAATAATAGTACAACGAAATATTAGGAAAAGGTGATTCTAGTTGACAAAAGGAGAATCCATTGAAGAATTTATGTTGTCTCAATCGAAAATAATCTAATCTTTTCTAGTATCAGTATAATATAAAAGCATCCTTTAAAATTTCTTAGAATATGAATGAAATCAAAAACCTCCGCCGGAGATTGAGTAGAAGAGACATACTTGGGAGAGGATCGTCCCGGACCAGTGAAGATCGGAATAGAGCAGCTTAAATTCCAATACACTAAATAAAATAATGAGAGGTTATAAGCAACAAGCACCAGTGGTCTAGTGGTAGAATAGTACCCTGCCACGGTACAGACCCGGGTTCGATTCCCGGCTGGTGCATCCCTTTGGGTTTGCTGTGATGATATTGTCTGCGCTCTATGCGGTGATTTGGGTCTCCGCACTTGTCCTATGGACGAAAACTTGCGCATCTGAGCTTTCCCTTTTTTCCTTTTGTTTTTTCAAATTATTATTTGGGATTATTAGTCTACTAATTTTTATTAGGGGTTCTAATATTTTGTTTTTTCAAATTATTATTTGGGATTATTAGTCTACTAACTTTTATTAGGGGTTCTAATATTTTGTTTTTTCAAATTATTATTTGGGATTATTAGTCTACTAACTTTTATTAGGGGTTCTAATACTCCTCAAGTAGTAAACTGCATACCAACAACCAAGTTACACATGAGATTCAAACCTACAAGCTAAGCAATTTTTAAGCTACATTTGTAGCTACACTGCAACCTTCCCCTCTATCAATTTTTACTATAAAGTTGGCTTGTGATTAATTAGGCTTAGAGCCGTCAAAATGGTAAAAATTGCACGGAGCGCCCTATTTGATCGCCTCTATTTAACCTATACCAATTTATTTTTAAAGTTTTAACCTATAATCAGTTTTTAAACAACTTCATCCCCTTTCTCCTCCTCCTTCTCCTCCTTCGTTTTCTTCTTCTTCTACTAACAACTGAAAGGCACTATGATTAATTATCTAATACTATCACCATTCTCAAACAATGGCTTAAAGAAGAAGAACTCATCCTCAACAGAATTGCTATAATTATGATTGTACAAGTTGTTCATAGTATGCTTGTTTTGTCAAATTTGCAGGAAAACTTTTCCACTAGTAGTTAGTCACTGGAGTTAGAAGAATTGCGCCAGCCAATCTGTTACATATTACTCCAGTTTACATTGATCGGAAACCCTTCTTCTTTGCAGGGCAAATAAAACTAATTTTAATATCACTACAATTTGTTCTAACTAAGAAGACTTTAAAATTAGACTACTTGTTTCTGCAACTGAAAGGGAATGATTGTGCTCGCCTTCGTATGTAGCAATCGCCAGTTACAAAACAAAAACTTCAGCTCTAGAGCTGATGTTCACCAGTTACAAACAAAAACTTCAGCTCTAGAGCTGAAGTTCGCCAGTTACAAACAAAAACTTCAGCTCTAGAGCTGATGTTCACCAGTTACAAACAAAAACTTCAGCTCTAGAGCTGAAGTTCGCCAGTTACAAACAAAAACTTTCGCCAATTACAAAAACAGAACTTCAGCTCTAGAGCTGAAGTTCGCCAGTTAACAGCAATCAAAAACTTCAGCTCTAGAGCTAAAGTTCGCCAGTTACAAAACAAAAACTTCAGCTCTAGAGCTAAAGTTCGCCAGTTACAAAACAAAAACTTCATCTCTAGAGCTGAAGTTCGTCAGTTACAAAACAAAAACTTCAGCTCTAGAGCTGAAGTTTGCCAGTTACAAACAAAAACTTCAGCTCTAGAGCTGAAGTTCGCCAGTTACAAACAAAATCTTCAGCTCTAGAGCTGAAGTTCGTCAATTACAAAAATAAAAACTTCAGCTCTAGAGCTGAAGTTTGCCAGTTACAAACAAAAACTTCAGCTCTAGAGCTGAAGTTTGCCAGTTACAAACAAAAACTTCAGCTCTAGAGCTGATGTTCGCCAGTTACAAACAAAAACTTCAGCTAGAGCTGAAGTTCGCCAGTTACAAAACAAAAACTTCAGCTCCAAAGCTGAAGTTCGCCAGTTACAAATCAAAAACTTCAGCTCTAGAGCTGAACTTCAAGTCCGACTACTAGAATGCTGAAGTTTTGCGTGATTGCCTTTGCTACTTCAGCCCCGTATGCTGAAGTTATGCAAAAAAGCGGGTACGCTTGCAATTGTTTTTGCAAAGCAGACATAAGTTAAAACGTGACACAAAAAGCGGGTATAGATGCAAATGCCCCGTCAAAATGGGCTTAGCCCGTGAGGCCAGCCCAACCCAGCTCGCTACTTGGGTAGGGTTGGGTTAGGATTTTTTGAGCCCATTTAAAACTAAAGCTTATAAGCCCAGCCTAAGTCAGCCCGCTGGCCTTTGAGACTTGACCGAGGCTGGGCCTGGGCTGGCCCGTAGGCTAAAAATTAACAAATTAATTAACTATTAAATATTTAATATTTAAAAAAAAGTAAAAAGTAAAAAAATATTAACTATAATCCTCATTCCCCAACCCTAGATTGTTCATTTCCCTTCCATATCAACTAGAATTTAGATTTTTGACATGCATGTAATATGACAAAATTAGTTTTTCTTTTGCTTAATTAATAACGAACTCGAAAAGTTTTAGTTCGCCAATAATAATCATTTTTCAAAAGAAAATATTACTTTAAGTGGCCAATGATCAGTTTGGATTATTTTAATATACTATTCATATTTAAATTGCTCTTTAGTATAGAAATATATCAATTTTAAATACACCAAAAAAAAAATAATTGACCACTAGCAAATTTCTGGAATTTAAAAAATTTTATGGACTATAATGATGAAATCAGCAAATGATATTAATCCTAAATTAAAAAACCTCAGCATTTAAACTTATTGAATCAATCCTTGAATCTGAGGAAAATAAAAGAAAAGCATTAAGAAAATATTCATGTAACTTTAAAAAAGAAGAGTTAGAGATATAGAGAATTTACATTTCAATTACGAGATTTCTCGTCAAATATCAACCTTTTTTTACGCTATAAACAAATAGAAGTTATTTACATGATTAATCGACTATGTCACGAAAAAATATTTAAGGATTTAAAGAAATTTTTTTTCTTAAAAAAAAAAATTGAAGGGCCGGACCGCCCTAGCCCGCGGCCCTCTTAGGGCTGGGTTGGGCTAACCATTTTAAGGCATGTTCATGTGGCGGGCCGGGCCGTCCTAGCCCACCAAATTTATAAGTACGTGAGGCTTGGGCTAGGCTGGGCTGGCCCATTTTGACAGCTCTAATTAGGCTACGAGCCTTATAAAAACCTTGTGGAGATATGATACATATTAGATTTAGTAGTATACTATATCCAAAAAGATATGTATATTCGACATTATTATTCTTATATACTCAACAATGCATTTCGCTAGTCACATTTGGGTACTTTATTTCTCGATTTCATGGAAGAAGTTGGAAAGATTGTCTTCATCTGTGCTGCTGAGTTGACCCATCTCCAAATCCCTCTCTGTTTCAAGATCCAATGGGGCTTGTTTCTTCAATTCCACATAACTTAAGAACTATTTCGTCATGAGATCAGTCCACACGCGATAGAATCAGTCCAAGGATGGACTATCTCCCTTAAACAGAAAAAGGCGTAACTAAATCTCTTGATTGAAAACACAAATAATGAATTTGGGAGTCTT